TACAAGGTATAATAAACTCCATTTGGACATTCGTCACCAAAGTATGGGGTTCAGCTAAATTCAACTAAACATTCCTGTTATCATCGCATCCAGATTTCCCAATCCAGAATCCTCGAAAAAAAATAGCAAGCGCTCTCTTCTACGTATCCAATCACACAATCCACAATGATATATATTTTTTTTTTTTTTAATGAAAGATTTCATAACATTCCTTTCCCTATACCCCACTCCCTTAGGTTTAAACTTAGCTATCGCTTATATCCCCCCCCCAGGAGATTAAGGTGGCAGTGACCTCGCGACCTGTTGGGTAGCTAGACGTAGTCCACACTATTACTGGGGGACATCATAGTGCCAGATTAATTTTTATTTTCTAGTGCCATATTTTATTTCACATTTGTACATATCAACAATTTTGATTGTAGTATATAAAAATAAATACTATTGTACAAATAAAAACAAAATTTAGTTCATTTGTCTTAGTATTTTTATTACCTACGATAAAGGATATATTCATCCAACAGGACTTTTAGGACTTTCCTCTCCTTCACACAACTCCACCAGACATCAAATACATGATTTGTCATTACACAAATCTCCCAGTTTTGACCTTATCATCAGAAACATCCTCCTGTAACTTTCAATAAAAACTACAATTTACCATATCCAACTTAGTCCTTAGAGCAATTTGACTTCCCAGTCCAATGTAAATTATCAACCAGAAAACCCATTACCAAACCTCAAACCCACCAGCATCTCTCTCGCCACATCATCCCAAAAGTTTGTTACCATGCCAAATATCCTTAAAAAGTCTGCCTTAAATGATACATATGATAAAGTTAAAAACAAGATGAAATTGTTTTATTTTTAAACCTATTCTTTACCTTCAAACACTTTTATAAACTTCCGATTGCGAGATGCGATTCGCGCGAAATTAAATAGACTTTTTTAATACCAATAAAATTATTTTATACGTCTGGAAATATATAACAGCCAGGATGTAATACAACCTGCGAATGTAATAACGGAATTGTTAACAATTGACGTTAAAAAATGTAAATAAATGCCATTGATCGTAATTTTTTGTTCAGGAAAAGACCGCGGTAAATAAAAATTATTTTTATATATACAAATTGAACTTTTGGAGGTCAGAATAAATTAACGTTGAATCCATTAGGTATTTTTGAGGGTCTGAATTTTTATTAAATCCATAGGCGGGTAAATATTCGAAATATTGATTTTTTTTTAATATCCCATTCAACAAGAAACCTTTAGAAAATAATATTTTTACAATTAATTGATAATTAAAATGCGACGAGAAGTCTTGATATTTATTTACGTATTATAAATGTAACTTGAAAAGTAAACAAAAAGGTTGTTTCTATTTATGAGAAGACTGATACATAATTACAAACATAACTTCAATGGAAATGGGACATCGGTTTAGGCGTTGACATGGCGCTCATCACTGTAAGGTAAAGGTCCCGGGTTCGAATCCAGCGGCCCTGCATACGACCCCGACATACTTACAAATGGGATTTTTTTCAAAAATACCGGCACCTCGAGCGTTGATATAACTTCTGTTGCGAAACCTCGTAAAAAAAAAAACTTCAATGGAAAAACCTTCCTCTCCAAATCCCATTGGTTAAGTTAAAGTATTATATTTTTAATTTATCAAGATAATATATTTACCTTTATCTTAAAGCTTGAACATAGTCTTGCACATCTCTCTTATACCTCTGTGGAGTTTAAATGAATAAAAAATTAACGTAAATTATTGGTTAAACAATGTAAACAGTATAGAAAACAGACGACGTGATCGGTAGTGGGAGAGATGTTATATAAAGGGGGCGCAAATATATTGAAAAGAGGCGTTTCATTCCTCCTTTTTCATCCCGAAAAATGTCAAGAGGAGGCGTTAGGCTCGCCGATAAAGCCGAAATAGGTAACTGCACGACGGTGATAAAGAGAAGGAAATATTGATACTGTTGAACCTCGGCGTGTTTACAAACGTAATCCATAGAGCAGGGCAGGACTTACCCGGGCCCCGTACTGGAGGAAAGTAAACCTGGTGACACATTTATTTTTAGCATGAGTTCCTTTCGGAAACATTCTCGTCTGGGGATCTATCTGCGTCTACGTCTTTTTCTTCCCTCTCGAATTGTGTGCGTACTCAATATGTTTTCATACTTCTCTTCTCCGAAGATATGATTATCATAAAACGTTCGAGTATGTTTTATGTTTGAAATATCTTACTTCAACTGTCTTAGAAATATACTCAAGTCATTGTAACGATAAGGTTGTTGAAATTGTACAAAGAACTGGAACTAATAATTGTTCTACGATTAGGGACGTTTGTTAAAGTTTTAAATTAAGACTTGAGACACTTGCACAACTTAACTAGCATCGTAAGCTGAATAGCTATACAAAGCTAACTCTTTTGTTCGAACTTTCTTTGAATGCATATAATCAAATAAATTCATTTGTAAATTCTTGTAAGCAAAAAACTTCTCCTAATTGATTCTATGTCGGTTGTGTTTTTCCATTTAAAAATGAAAAACTCTTCTGTAAATTTATTCTGCTTCTTCGAAGACAGCTTTAAAGGACAGATGAATATACAACAAATTTTCAGTAATTCTAATATCATTATTGTTAGGTGAGAAATAAAATATAACAAAAAAGTAACAACAAAATTCCTACACTCTCTCTCTCCCTCTCTCTCTTTCTCTCTGTCACTCTCTCGTCTCTCTTTCTCTCTCTCCCTGTGTTTCTCTCTGGCTCTCTCTTTTCTTTTTGCTGTCAATATTTTTTCTTAACATCTCATTCTTTTTTTGTTCATAATTATTATATATTGAATCTAATACCGTTAATATCGTTCGTTGTTAGTAACTTTTTATTGAGTAAAATATGTAAATGTTTTTATGATAAGTATAAATAAATTAAGTATTATTATAATTGTCTTTATTTTTGTATCTTTGTAATGACAATATGAAATACTATTTCTGTGATTGACAATATGGAGGCGATGTAATTCCGTTGTTTTGATTTATTTGTAACATTTGATAAAGGTGTAAATTAATTTACGTACAGGCCATAAAAAAAATATATTAGTGAAACATTCATGTGTATTTATAATCGATTAGAAAATTCCTCTTCCCCCCTCTCACTCTCTCTCTCTCTCTCTCTCTCTCTCTCTCTCTCCATTTATCTATCTATCTATTTATCTATCTATCTATCTATTTATCTATATATATATCTCACACTCACCCACTCTCTCTCTCTCTCTCTTTCTCTCTCTTTTTTTCTCTCTCACTATTTTTCTTTCTGTATCTTACTCTATGTCATGTCTGTATTTTTCTCTTACTCTCTCCCGACATTGTCTTTTCCCATTGTACTTCCATTTTTTCTTTATCACTCTCTTTAGCTCTCTTTCTCTCTTTTACTGTTTCTTTTTCACCCTGCCTTGTTTTGCTCACGCTATTTATCTTTCTGTCAATTTATCTATTTATCAAGGTATTCCCTCGCTGAGTCCTGTAATTATAAGACGTATGCCGATATGGTTACCATATAATAGAAACAACATTTAAAGGATTATAACAAAACAACTCTTCTAACACCACGTCAAAACAAATGGACGAGAGAGCAAGAGCTGGGATGTTGAAAACGTAACGTTCATTTAACATGACATGGACATTGTTATTATCAAACTTACCACTATTTTATGTCAAAATGTGTTCATCTATTTCTCAAGAATTTTTAACGAACAAAATAATAATAATTTATTTCAATTAATTAATCCTTATGTAAGATATTGGTTGAAATGAAAAAGTTAGTGACTAGCTAAAGTGACTTCAGAAGTCAAGATAGCTCAAGTGGTAGAGCAGCGGCGTATTTAGCCGAATACACCGACACCGGTCGTGGGTTCGAATCCCGCTCGTGACCCTGACTTCTTCATTTCCACCAATACCTTACATAAAGATTAATTAATTGAAAGAAGTTATTTGATCATTCGGACCACGAAATATAATGTATTTAATAATAAAAATGCAATTTGTTGCTTTGCAGTCCAAAACTTCTTAATTTTAATTTAGGTAGTATAAGGTAGTACTATAAAGCAATTATTGATTTTTGAAGCAATTTTTGAAAAGACTCGACAAATTTTTATTATGGAATAAGATGAGTCTTGTAAAATATATAATAATACGCAGTTTGTAGATTTCAAATCAAAAATGCTTTGAATTCTGTCGGAATATTAAATTATGTATCTCTTGTACACCAAACTGTGTATATATTGTAATTTGATTTTCTAATAAGCATCTACATATTTTTGTAAACATAACAGAAATTCTCCAAACATTCCTCTTTGCCATTTAACCATGTACATTTTATGGGTGGCTTCACAAAATTATACTGTAAAAAACATGTGAAAAAGATATAAAGAACAGCATTAATGGGCAATTCCATGATGAAGTTTTTAAAGTATGACACGTCTGAAATAAGTAGAACAACGGAGTCAAACTGGAACCGGCTTTTAATGTATAATCGGTTGAAATTTATGTTCCGCCTGAACGTGAGTAACCCGGCAAGCCCGGTTGGATCCGCCGTCATTAAATGGATGATGATGTCGACCCGGCGCGGATGCGGCATCCATTTGCGGCGAACGACTCCTTACGACGTCGGGCAAAAACCGTAATGACGGATACACGTGAGCTGGCTGTTATTTTGTCAATTAAGCACCGGGGGGAAATCGAAGAGTCTCGGTTTGGGCGGGTTTCTCAACTTTTTGTTTAAATTTTCCCAAACGAGCTGGCGTTTCAGGGTGTGCGGTCTTGGTTTTCCACTGTTTGAAAAGTTGCGGTCACCATAGAATCTTCAACGTTTTTATATGTAAAAAGAAATTCGTGTTAAAATTCTTTATTAAAGTACTTATAAAGGAACAAATAAATATATTTAATAAAATTATAACTAAAGTTTTTTTGTAAAACATATGGTTCAATGTAAACTTAAACGTTTTATACCCAGTTCTTATTATCTTATCCTTTTCAGCTTCTGAGTGAGGTGCAGCAATGAACTCAGATATTAGACCAATACAAGCCGGCGTTCCACAAGGGAGCGTTCTTGATCCCATCCTGTACACCATTTTTACAGCAGACTTTCCCGTATGTCCCAATATTATCAGTTACAATCTATACAGATGAAATCAAAAAAATATCTCTTGAGTCTCCTCAAGCATTCAATATCCAGATCATCCAATATTTCTAATCAGACAAAGTACTTAAAAAATTACCTTACTGCTCCAGTAACCTCACTATTCACTACGACTTCAACATTCTTTTTGTCAAAAAATTATCTGATCCCGCTGCCCAAAGTTCCATACGAAGCTCTCTTAACCATTCTGCTTAAGCCGACATTCTAATCCCGAGAACCCGCAACTTCGACTTAAAGGTCGACGGTCTGGTAATCTCCGTCCCTAATGTCTGCACATAATAAAGAGATGTGTGGTGTTTAGTGACCGTTAATCGATAATTATTCAGAAATCGTGAGATGCGGTCTGGTGTGATGTCGGTTTCAGAAAAACATTTTCTTTATCTTGCCAACGTTTCGATCTTTATTGAGATCATCTTCAGGGCCTGGGATTTACAAACATTGTTTATATTTAACAAATACATTTATGATGTGGAAAAGTGAATTTATACAATGCAAAATATATTTTTTATATTCAATCAAAGTATTTCTACTCACTCAAAGTGTTTGTCTTCTGTGTAATTGTNTATCTCACTGGCACTCTCAACACGACACGCAAGAATGGCACAATTACACAGAAGACAAACACTTTGAGTGAGTAGAAATACTTTGATTGAATATAAAAAATATATTTTGCATTGTATAAATTCACTTTTCCACATCCTAAATGGATTTGTTAAATGTAAACAATGTTTCTAAATCCCAGGCCCTGAAGATGATCTCAATAAAGATCGAAACGTGGAACGATAAAGAAAATGTTTTTTGGAAACCTACATCACACCAGACCGCATCTCATGATTTCTGAATAATTAATTAATAATAAAGAAAGAAAAAACAAATAAAAAACTACTTAAGGGAGAAAAAGACGTGAAATGAAACTTACTACGTAAAATGCGAAGAACAAGAAAAGAATATTTTATAGAAAACGATAGGGGAAAGGAAAGGAAATTACCTTCTCGTAGAGAAAAAATTTAAAGTACTTGTAAGCTGTTTCAAACCGATCTTTTCAAGAAGGGAAGCTTTCCAAGTTAAGGTTTTTCGACCCAGACATTCCAAATAGCTAAAATAGTGAAGTAAAAACAAAAATGGAAAAAATTGACAAATTGTATTGGAGGTTGGACAGCGTACAAAAAAATAAAAGTCAAATGCTGGTCAAAAGCTGCAGAGAGAGTGATCTGATTTTTGGGAAACGTTCCGAATAATTAGAGATAATTCGTTCATAATAATGAGGCAAATTAAATGGAAAGTTTTAAAATCCTGTCTAGTTGTTGTGTTCGTCTATTAAATATGTTCAGTGATGAATCGGTGTGATTTTAGTCAACTCAAATCTATTTGATAAGATCGTACAAGGATGGATTCTAAAATATTCGTTATTTTCGTTTGTCTGTTGTTAATTGAACAAGCCAGGCTTTTTATTGTTACGGTCGGTTTTTGTGATCGATTTTTGATTTTTCTTTTCAACTGGTTGAGTATTTTGAATGATGTGAACTGTTGCTAATCTGGGTGTTTGTGGGTTTTTTATTTTGACGAATGATTTGCCAATATTAGGAATTAGGGTGTAAATTAAAAGAGAAAAACGTTTTCCATCAATTTATATTCGTTTGTTCTTACTTGGGAATAGTTGTGTACCGGTTACAACTTGGGTAAAATAGATCTAATAAAGTGATTTTAATTAAGGAATAAAGTACCCTTATCTGCCAGCCATCATGGTGGATTTGCCTAATTTGAAATCCAAGAGCCCTATTCATTGTTTTACCTTATAAACCGGATTGAATTGGCTAAAGAAACTTACACCCAGGGTAATGTTTATTTCGGGAAAAAACACATAATTGCGAACAAGTTTTGATAAAAGAAATTTCCTCGAGTTTTATTTATTTGATTAAAAAAGACAAAATATTATTAGAGAGGACGTAAATTGACTAATACAGTAGCTCAGACTTGTCGTTAATTGAGGAGATTCTGGAATTTGAAAGAGGCATTGTCGTCGGAAAGTTAAGCTTGAAAGACTTAAGGCCAGACACCCTTAGAGCCCATCTCGAAGGGCAGGGTAGGTAATAGTCGCCCTTTCTCTGAAATCTATGACAACACGATCTGCCGTAATTTTTTTTTTTAATTTGTATAATCTACCTCGTCGAAACTTGTACTTAAGTGAAGAAAACAAGTTGGCACAGTTTGTCTTAGACGAAGACTACCTGTTCAGACGGTTAAAAATTTAAGGGTGGACAATTTGTTTTCACCCCCTGCTTTCTTTTCGGACCAAAAACCTCTGTTACTCCACGGTGATACCCCAGGAAAGGAATTCTGTTTATGTCTTCCAATAAAGCTTTCACCTCGATTAATTCTGGAATCAATCCGCGGCGGGATGCGTCCGACTAATTTATCAGATGCGCCCCGGCGGCTTTTATCTCTTCAACTTGCAAATCACGTTTTTCAATAAAAGGCTATACCCGTTTCTGCGGCGGTGATGTAGCGCATCTACGAGGCAACACAGCACTCGAATCCCTCCCGGAGGTTGATGTGTGTTAACGTCTGACAATTATTTCTCCCGAATACGTTGTCCCTCTGGAACTACCTTAGATTTATTCCTCTTATTTCCTATCTCTTCGGAACGTTGATTCATGACCTGGTTGTAATCTTCATAAATAACGCAATGCCTGTTGTAAAACATATATAGTCCAAAAGGAATACTTAAGAACATAAATAATAATATAAAATAAATTAAAAATTAATTTAAAAACTGTTAATTGAATTCAATCACTGAATAATATCTTTACCGCTAAGAGCGAGCAGAGTTTACAAGATTTAAACTTTCTACTACTATGTTATGAATTGTGCTAATTCAAGACACATAGCCAAAAAATGAACCAAACTTTCTTGTACTCAAGTTACAAAATGATCAAGTTATGAATGATGGAGTGGGTGTGGAGTTCAATCCTTTTTTAAAAAGAGGGTTCCTACTCACAGTAAGTGAACTTATGTACGAACTTACTGTGAGTAGGAACCTTAAGTGTTGTTAGTTTAGAGTACTTCGCCCATCATTTTCAATAGCCAAGACAGACCTCTTAAATTATAGACTGTTTATTCGTGAATTAAAAATATTTCCTTTCATTATGTTTAGTGGTCACATTGATAAAATTACTTCTTTCAATAAATAATTTTTATGTAAGGTTTTGGTTTCTGTCATGATAGGTCAAGAGGTGAGAGCAAAGGCTTATTGAGGTGAAGGACGTGAGTTCGAATCCCGCACGTAACACTAACTATTTCATTTCAACCAAGACCTTAAATAAAACGAATAATTAATTGAAAGAATTATTTACTTTCTTTATTTTTTTATAGAGGTTAAACCTAAACAACTGAAGTGGCATGGTTTTCTCCGTCAGCTCGGAAACCAATATGACGATCTATTGAAATGCAATACATAATTTTTTTGTGGCTGAGCTAGGTAGGAAAGCAAGTCAAAATATGTATTTTAGTAAGAAACGAAGTCTGTAATTGAAATATTAAGGGAAATCAAAAATAAAATTTCGGCCCACTTCTAACTACAGGAATTTAAAATATTATAAAGCACAAGTACGGCGAACAGACTTCTGTAAGTAAAAAGAAAAAGACCGGTGATAAAAACTAAACTGTTTGAGGGTTTTTTGTTATTATTATTATTATTATTAATTTTTAAGGGCATTTTAACGGCTAAGGTCATTTCACGTCCTAACATCCCAAACCTTCTATCTTAGTTTAGCTATATCTCTTCTGAGTGCTATAAAGCTCTGACTCCAAACATTCACTCGTAAACTAATTTATCCTATTGCCATCCAAGCTTTAATTTATCCTCTTAAAATTCTTAATTTGGAAGGCCAAATGTATGCAAAAATCACATTTTAATTTTTTTTTTTTTTATTAGAATTCTGAATTTTAGGGTTTTATGTTTATATCATTTTTATTTTTGTCACGCATAATAGCATAATATCTTTACATTTATTTATTTAACATTTATATAGCCTGAACGACGAAATGTTCCTTTTAAGTGGAACGCCGGACATGGACGAAATGAAAATTCTCCAGCAAATCTAGCACAAAAATGACTATGTTTTCTAACTCTCCCGCTCAAAAGAAAACATTACAGCCGTTTAGAACACTACCCTACACGTGAGGGCAAAAGCATGGCTTCGGTAAATAAAGGAGATAACGTTAGATTCAAACAATCAGTTATGCTAATAACATAAGACCTACTAGTAACATGAGCTATATGCACGTGCGTAGTTTATCTAATCTAATAGTTAATTTAATCGTGCAGGTCTACTTTGTAATCTTCCAGTAGTCGACATTGTGCGTTCGTTCTCTTAATAGTTGTCACTATTGTAATAGTTTGTGGAATATACGTTTATCGTAGACCCTTCGTTTTTTTCTTGTCCTATCAGGTTATGGGCCTAGAACGTTATTGAAGAACAAGGACTATATTGTGTGACTAGCAAAGGTACAAAAATGTTAGAAAAATTGCGGAATGGAAATAAATTTTGTCTACTAAAGAAATCTTTATATGGTTTAGGCCAATCCGACAGGAGTTGGTATCTAAAATTAGGAAGTGTTTTGAAGCGATTAGGCGCTACACCCACCAAATCTATCATATGGAGAAGGATGACAAATTGATATTGATTACAATTTTCGTCGATGACATCATCATTGCCTCACGGAACAATAAAACTATGACCAATTGGAGAAGGATCTAAACAATGAGTTTCAAATTAAAATTCTTAGAGAAATAGGTTACTGTCTAGGAATCGAATTTAGCAAAAGAGGAAACAAAACATATATGCAACCGAAAAGTGTATTATGGAAATTCGAAATGGTTTTCAAATGTTGTACTGTAAGCCTGTAAAAACTCCAATGGATTCAAACGTCAATAAATGGATTCAAAACCGGCTGAGGAACCTTCTGAAGAAAAACAGCTACTACCTTATTGTGAATTAGATAATTAGGAGCTGACTTATTTGTCTGTTTCAACTAGACCAGATATTAGTTTTGGAACAATTCGACCGTTGTTACGATAGAACCCAGTGGAACGCTGCTAAACGTGTACTACGGTAATTGAAGGGAACGATGGAAATGGGTCTGGAATATTGCCATGGAATGAGCCCCTTCAATGCTTTTATGGATGCAGGTTGGGGAAACGGCGTTGACGATAGAAAATCGTACACAGGATATGCATTCGACACGGTAGTCCTATATTCAGGGAATC